AGCCTTGTATTTGACACGTGCATTAGATGATGTAACTGTTCCATGTCAGGATTTGTGCTTTTTTATTTTTTTATTATTTTTTTTGAAGTGTTTAGGAAATAAAAACACCTTAACTTCAGGGAAGTATGCTATTTGTTTTGTTTATTTTTGCTCATATGAGGTTGGCAGTGAATTTAAAGATGACGTCACCGGCCATCCTATTTCTCCGCACTGTCCCTTTAAATTCAACGCGGGGGGGCACGAGCCCACCCCACCCCCCTTTTTTTTTTTTCACAAGCAGCTTTTTGCGCCAACCTCCACCTCCACCGCAGCTGCAGACTGAATGAAGCCCGCTGGTCTCACGGAGCTCACCGGGCCGGGGGTCGGGGATGTTTGGCCAGAATGCACCCGGACTCCGTGGCTCTTCGTAGGGCAGGTTTGAGCCTCACCGACCGTCCCGGTCAGCCCGGTTCAGAGGATCCTCGGGGGCCCGAGGAGGAGCCCTCCTGTCCGCCTCGGTGGTGTCTGAAAAGCAGCTCTCTGCGGCCGATTGAAGGACCTGATCGTGGGGGGGAAGGACGGTCAAGATGGCAGCTGTGCGCGGAATGATGATGCTGTGAGGGAAGGTTTTCAAATCTAGGACCGAGGTCCGGTGTGTGAGGGAACGCCGTTAGGTCCGGTGTCGGTCAGGGTGTGGGCTGCAGAGGACGGACGGACGGACACGTGTTGGACCTGACTGCAGCCTGAAGCCTGCACACATTAACGGAATGCGACCCGAGTGATTGATAAAACCCCCAGAGATTGAGCCGAACATGGCCGAGGCGCCTCGCGACAGCTCCGACCCCCCTTTGAACATCGACATCGATCCGGATTTCGAGCCCCAGAAGCGTCCGCGCTCCTGCACTTGGCCTCTGCCCCGTCCGGAGTCCGGTGCGGGGAAACCGGGGACCGGCGACGTCATCCCCGAAGAGGAGGACGATGAGGGCGCGGAGCGCGGCGCCGCGCAGGGAGCCTGCGGCGCCTCGGTTCGAGCAGAGCCGAGCCGCGGCGGCTGCGCCTCCCGGCCCGTGGAGGTCCTGCGCGGTCCCCGCAGGGAGGACGCGGACGACGGGTCCCCGTCCTCCTCCTCCTCACAGCCGCCCGGCGCGGCTCAGTGCGGCTCCGCCGCCCAGCAGCTGAGGAAGTCGTCCTCCCGCAGGAACGCCTGGGGGAACTACTCGTACGCAGACCTGATCACCCAGGCCATCGACAGCTCCCCGGACAAAAGGCTGACCCTGTCCCAGATCTACGACTGGATGGTCCGGTCCGTGCCGTACTTCAAGGACAAAGGAGACAGCAACAGCTCTGCAGGCTGGAAGGTGAGCACGTGACGGTGCTGTCATCACAAACACACGTTTATTTGTTGTCACAGGTGGGTTCATCACACAGTCATGTTACAAACACACAACATTCTGTGAGAAAATACAAATCATCATTTCATGCATCATCTATGATGATTATTTATTAGGGCAGACCGGGGACAGTTGCAACACTTTTTACATTTGATTCTGTTCCTCAGAGAAGGTTTGAATTAGACAAACCAAATTTTAATACAATAAACTTACATCTGTCTGTTAATAGTTAAAACCATTTATAGA